CAAACATTGAATTTCAATCAATTTAACTCTAGTTAATACTGTTATAAAAAGTATATTATTATTACATAGTGATATATTCTGTTAATTACATTAAGCTATGAGTTTGACCACGTATTTAGCCATATTTTGCGTGTCAATTACCACGTTAATAATGTAAGTAAAACCACTTGCTATTTAATAATCATCAAACATCAGTGTAAATGATGAATGTTAAATAAAAATTTTTGGCATTAAATTCTTGTACACAACTAAATATTTATATAATATTAACTTTTTACTTAGATACCTGAGACGTCGGTTCACCTACTGGTCGCGTAAAGGTGTACCAGGGCCAAATTTCATTGAGTACGAAGCATTTACCGGTGTTCACCACGAATATACGCTGGAAGCAGTTAAAAAATGGGGCCGAGTGTACGGCACATACACTGGTTTTCAGCGTAGTATAGCCATCAACGAGCCCGACCTGCTCCGCGACATCATGGTTAAAGATTTTAATATTATGCCCGACCACAAGCACTTTCATGTGGGCAGCTCTAAGATAGGCCAGAGTCTGTTTTTTATGCCCGGCGACGATGACTGGAAACGTGTGCGCTCTATACTGACCCCCGTGTTTACGTCGGGCAAACTCAGAGCAATGTTGGGCCATATCGGCGGCATTGCCGACAAATTTGTTGAAAGTTTGACTGATTTATCTAAAAAGGGTAACTTTTATCATGTTTACATTTATAATAGTAATTTCTATTTGTATAGCTATTCAATTTAAACATAGAACATTATTTATTATTTTATCATATTCACATACTTATTATATTAATACAATATGTTAAAATGCATAAATATAAGGCTGAACAAATTATAGCAAAATATTTGTGCTATTTTTAACCATATCATATTTTGCTTATTAACCATAATCATAGGAAAGCCAGTAGATATGCGCAATTACGTGGGCGCGTTTACCATGGATGTGATCTGTGCCTGTGGTTATGGCATACAAGCGGACACTATTAACAATCCGGATCATCCCATTGTAACCAATGCTAAGCGTGTGCTGGGATTTAACGGCGGATTGTCAATAGTGTTGTCGGCGCTGACACCCGGGTTGGCCCGACTGTTACGGCTCGAGCCGTTTGACATAAAAGCGGTCAAATATTTCGATGGACTCACAAAACAAATACTTAATGAACGCAAAGTTAACAACAAATCCACGGCAAACGATAAATGTAATTAAATCTCATTATTATTTATTTATTTATCGTATATTTAATAATTGTTTTAATTTTGTTTTGCATTTATAGCCAAACGGCGCACAGATTTCATTCAATTAATACTAGACTCGGAAAAGTCTGACAAAGAGTTGGGCTATCATTTGGGTAGTGAAGGGGAAGCGGACAACGAGTCGACAACCGGTGGACAACAGTTGGCTAAAAAATCTGTGGGAACCCTAACACAGGACGAGACCATAGCACAGGGTTTAATATTTTTTCTCGCCGGTTATGACACTACCAGTGCCTCCATAACAAACGCACTGCACTTCCTGTCCAAACACCCGGACTGTCAGCAAAGACTATACGAAGAGTTGCGAACTTGCGATGAGTTTACGTACGAAAAGTTATCGCAATTGAAATACTTGAACGCAGTTATCAATGAAACAATACGTCTCGCGCCTTCACTAACACGTATACAACGGGAATGTCTCTCGGATTATAAACTCGGAAATACCGGTATTTAAATATAAATTTTTATTTAATTGAACTTATCCAGTATTTAATAATAATTATGCAATATTTATAACAGGCATTACAATACCCGCGGGAACATCGGTCGAGATCTATCCATACGCTATACACCGAGACCCAGACTTTTGGCCCAACCCTAACGACTTCATACCCGACCGTTTCCTGGAGCCCACACACCATCCCTACGCTTACATACCCTTTGGTGGCGGACCCCGTGTATGCATTGGACAAAGATTTGTATTACAGGAGATGCGAATGTGCCTGGCTAAATTGATAAGTAAATTAGAATTCAACATGTGCGATCAGACAAAAATTGAATACTTTACTTCCAACATTTTAATTTCACCTAAAGAACTGATGCTCGACATTAAAGCTAGATTGTAAACAAGAATTATTATGTGTTATATTAGATAATATGTTATACTTTATTTAATTGTTTTAATTAATATAATATCATATGATTTTTATAACGATAATATTAATTTAAATATAGAATAAAAGTAAATTTTTAATTTTAAAAATATTGTTGATATTTATTGAAATTGAAAAGTAATTATTTGTGTATTGTAACTTTATAATGTGACTTTAATTGTGTAATGTAACTTTATAACTATTTGTGTATTGTAACTTAGATTTACTCAATATTTATTAATTAATTTTTTGTAAAAATGTACTAATATTTTAATAAAATGTACAATTAGTTAACTGTATATTCAATTCCATTAATAATTATATCTACAATTATATATTATAAAATAATAGATTAAAATAAAGTATACAGTTTTTATGTCTACAAAACATATTTATTTAGATTATACACTAAAGTACTATTAATAGCTTTAATCTAGAATTGTGTGCATTTTTAAATTAGTAATTTAAAACACACCATGATTAACTCAAAACGATGATAATATTTAATTAAAAAAAACAGAATTGATCTAATTTATTAAAATTTTTGACCATATTTAACTCCATTTCATATAATAAAACATTAATTATATAAATAACAGATTTATGATAACTATTTATAACCAAAAATGTCATTTATCACATTATTTTATAAAGTACAGTATTATATTATCATATAATTAATATTGTTTATAATAAGAATGCACTCTAGCTCTTTATAACTTGACGTGGTTTTTGCGTTACCTTGATATTTTGTAAACTATTTTTTATTAAAATCGTTACATTTATTATAGTCATAGTGTACCCTGTTGTTATATTATGTCTAATTTAGTTTTCATTAAAAACTCCACTCTTTATATTAGTGTACACTATATGTGAGTAACATTTGAATAGAGTATAAATTACACACCAATAAATTCTCCTGGCCTCCCATTAAACTCTCCTAGAGTGCATTCTTAAAGTAATGACTATTAGCTATATAATTTTTGTTAAAATTGTCCTGGTATTTTCGGAATAAACGGTGGTCATTTTTTAAAAGTATAAATAACATGGGTTTTCCATTGGACAAATAGGGTGACCCCTCTGTCCAGTATGACTACGTGTTTATGTTGTAAATTAGAAAAGTACTTTAATTAAAATTATTAATTACAAAACATATTATATAATTATTAAAATTATATTTTAATAAAAAGATTACTTATTACAGTTTTATTGAAAACATCCTTAAACTAATTTTGTAAATTTTATTTTTATTAAAATTACTTGCTTTATACAATTAATTGTTTTTTTTATAATAAATATATAAATACATTTATTTAAAAAATATCATAATTTATTGTTTATAAAATAATAACATTAATATTATTGAATTATTATTGAATCTAGGTAATTGAATTGCCAATTGTTATAGGAAGTAGTCGGCCCACACGCCATCACAAGTTTCATGAAACGGGTCTTTCAATACTAGGCTCAGGTCTTTGGGATCCAAACCGTGGACTTTGGGCGCACCCATCGGCTCATCGTTTAACAGTTGCGGCCAATCAGAGTCCATATGACTAGAAATAAACATAATAATTAGTCTACAAATGCTAATTTCATTTTTTATGTGGCATAAAATTTATAACATAAATTACTAAATAATTAATTTATAATCATACTGTTTAGATAGTTTAAACATTAATCATTATATCAAATGTATGATGTACAATGTTAAAATAATTACCCATCTGCTGCAAACTTTGTCCACATTTTCATCACAACATTACTGTACCAAATATCTTCAATATCTTGATCAGGGTAAAGTAGTGGTAAACCAAACACATAGACTACATCCATACCATGACAAATGCCCATAGTTGTTAAATCGCAACCACCTAGTTTGGCAAACCATTTACTCGCGTACAACAACTCGTAAAAGTAAACCCTTTGCGACTCTTTGACAGTTTGTGCGAACCGTTTGGCGAACAGATATGTCGGACAACCGAGTATTAAGTCTCCCATTAGTGCACTAAAAGCCGTGCGAAGTGACTGACTATCGCTAGTGTTGACACCTTTCAAGTAATGTTCCGTCACTTTCTGCACATTCACGTTATGATAACCAACTGATTCGAAAGCATTTACTCCGTTGTGAAAGTCAGCCAGGGTAACATTATTAAGGTCTCTGATAAGCAATCTAATAAACACTGAGCCCTCATCGTGTGTAATGCCAGCGACTAAATCAATATCTAATTGTAAAATTTGAACAAGATTAACAATTTATAATTACTGTATATTTTATAACGTAATACTTATAAGTTACTGTATAAAATACTTTATTATTATTAACTGTTTACTTTTATTGCTAGTTAAATGCTACAAATTACAAAATTACCTGTATTGAATTTCTTTTCATTAAAGGCTAGTTGCGTACGAATGGGCAGAAATTCTGTGCCAAACACCGGGTATGAACCGATAGGGTTCTCGTATTTGAGTATATCTTTGGCGTCCGCTCTTCGCAGACATTGTAACCAATCCTCGCTTTCATTGCATTTCAATTGTTTGGCAATAGTTTTACCATAAGATATGGCTTCCGTTTTGTTGACCACATCCCTGTCCTTGTTGTACATATTGGCCCCGCTCTCCATAATAGCCCTCTTAAACATGCCCTTTGATAGTGGGGAGAGTACGTGTGCCGACACCGACCAACTCCCGGCGCTCTCACCAAAAATGGTTATCCGATCCTTATCTCCGCCAAACAAATGAATGTTTTCTTTAACCTATTGTTAAACAAGTAATTCATACCTTTTTAATACTTGATTAATTTATAAAAATTTTAACTAAAATATATTTTTTAAAAATTAATACCCATTTCATGCCCAATACCAGACAGTCTTCACTCATAAATTTTTCAGATGACAATTTATAAAATAGATCATGTTGAATGCAAAAGTTACCAATGTTTGTCCCATCAAGTATACCCTTAATTGCAATATACTTTTTTAGC